TTTTTTTTTTTTTTTTAGGTTTTAGAAAAAGTTTGTGTATGCAAAAAATTATTAAAAATTAAAATTTTATGATATATAAAAAGGCATACCCAAAATTTTTGTTAAAACTCAAAAACATTTTTTTATTTTTGGTAAGCATTTTTTATATCAAACATTTCGTTTCGGGGGAATCCTACAATTGTTTACAACTAGTTTTTGTTATGAAACATTTATTTACTGAAACAGGAAAATCGATTTTCTTCAACAAAATTTTACTTTTTCTGCACTCTCTTGCTAATTTTACAAACTTTCATTAAAAAAAAATTAATAGTTAATCAAATTGGGTGAAAAATGAGAGCTCCAGTGATTTATGAACAGTAAGTTCCAGTTTTGAACCACTGTGCGCAGTTTCTGCTTCTTTTGGCATCGACTTTCAGAATGCCGAAAACGAAAGAGACTCATTTATATCGATTTGAAAAAATGTTCAGCTCACAATGCTGCTGAAAAATTCACTCATCATAAAGTTGTAAGAAACAAATTTTAATAAATTGGCAGTCAAAACTCTCAAGCATAACGGATGCTTCCCAGACAATTTTATTCATTTTATTTTACTTAAGCAAGCAATAAAACAATTTGCTGTATCTTTGTGAACAAGTCAATATTTCTTATCGTTGACATTTCACTCATATTTACGCATGTATGTATGTATGTATGTATCACTTGTGAATTGTTTACAGCAGGAATTTCGCAGACGCTGACAATAACAAATGATATATAGTATAAATATGTACATACATACATCGGTAGTAAAATTGGAGACAAAGATAGAGTGTGGCAATTGTGTGTATATATATTTTTATTAACATTTGTATGCACTTTTATTGTACATACACATGTCATACATGTATGTATGTGTGCATTATACTTGCAGATGTCAAATGCATATGAAGGCGGTGGGGCTAGATGAATTCAAAGCTACGCTGAGATGCTGTGGTTTATTGACTTTCCAATGAATGCTTGCTCATAGCTAGCTAGCTACTACTTATTATAGTACATTCTATGCCATATGAGTATGTATGTAATAATGATTCAGGAAGTTCATGTGCGACTTTTTGCGCCTTTTCCACATTTACATACGAGCAGTATATGTATGTATGTAGTGATATTCACCGACCTCCTCTATAGGTTTTCTTTTATTTTTTAATTCACTTTAATTACATACTCGCACTATGTTTACATTTTCAACGACGTTTGTAAATTGTTAATTGACTACACGTTCTTGAACTTGTGCCTTTTGAGTTATGTATTTGGTATGTATGTACATGTGCACATTAGGGTGCCACGCCAAAAAAAAAATGCGCTTTTACTACCGGAATTATGAAACATATTACATATTTTTAAAAACTCCAGCCAAAGTATTTCGAAAAATATTAAGACTAACATACGTGAGCTGAACCGATTTGAAACTAAAAATCTAGTTTTTGTATAAAATAAATGAGTTAAAAAAAAATAATAATCCAAAAAGTTGCCTCAAGATGATAGAAGAGTTTCAGCTTGATATGTCTGCATATAAATGTTTAAAAAATTTATCAACGCATTTAAAATAATGCGATTTTAGAATTTCAATGCGTTCGAGGTAAGGTCTAAAATTTGTGTAATTCCCATGGAAAAATAATACCGATTTTTTATTTTAAGGCGAGTGGTGCGCCCTAATGTACATACAAATTTCTGTATATAAATTTATGTACATAGAATTATAATAGCTGTCTAGGGTCATAACATTTCACTTTAAGCATGAAGTAACTAATTGAAGGTTTAAACTGAATGAGACTCGAATAAAAACTGTGATTTTCTTTATTAACGAATTTAGTGCGCATAGAACGCATTAAAAGTAGCAAACATATGAGTATATGTTTGTAGGAAGTATTTCTTTAAATGCGGCGTCATGTGTGGTTCTCCGTTTTTTTTTTTGAAGAAAAATAACAAAAAAAATTCTAATAATTCTGGTTAAAAAGGTCAAAATTTAGATAAAAATAGTAGCCTGCGGCCTCACCTCTGTCGCCTCATCACACATAAGACCAATACTAATCTTCGATCCCCCTTTCAAATGAGCGCCATCAGTTCTTTTTTTGCCGACAACCCAAATTCTACATAGCTCTACGCTCACGCCCATAGCTTTAGGCGACAGGTTCGAGAGATTCTGCATTTAGCAACATCAGCTCTTGTCGATAGGGTCCTATTGACATCTCAAGCCTAAATGCCTTCCTGTTGTTGGCTGGAAGATCATGTGTTACTGTAAAAAGCAGTGTCTCTTCCTTGATCAAAATATATAGAAGAAGCGAAGAAGCCTCACTAGTTTTTTTCTTATCGTACCAGTGATGCTGACACCAGCTTATCTTTGGATCTCTTTGAGCTGGGCTCACTTGGATTTTACTTATGCTTTCTTCAAAGAGACAGACGCTACTTTAAATAGGATAGATTTGGTAATAGTTGCATATGTATATTCAAACTGTAAGTTTCGGGTCGAATACCCAAGTTCCCCTCGGTGTAAGTGATCTTTTTATTACTGTTGGCATTATTTTTTAACTATTTCATATAACAAATATAAAATTTTATATCATGGAGTACCTACAACTACAACGCATCAGTGGAAGGAACCAGTTTCAACTAACCTGCGACGTTAAGCATATACTCGAGGCCTTAAACCCATATTTATACCAGTAGTTGAAACCATCACTAAATTCATAATATGGCGTTCCTCCTCCCCCAACGGGAGTAGTTCGTAATACCGTAAAAGTTTACAAATCGTGCTCTTCATCTCGAGCATGGCAAACTTTTGACCCACGCAATTGCGCGGACCGGCGCTGAAGGGCACATAGGCGAATGGGCTTATTTTTTGCTTGTCATCGATGCTAAAACGTTCGGGTATAAATTTCTCAGGTTCTTCAAAGTAATCCGGATCACGTAAGGCGTGATAGAGGAACATCATCAAATTCGTTTTGGCGGGAAAGAGTTTACCATCTGAAAATAAAGTAGACAAAAGACTTTCAGATTGCAAATTCCAAGTGAGTTTCTCACCTAAATAAACATCCTCCTCAGTGTAACGCCCAATTATGGGCACTGGCGGATACAGTCGCATCGATTCCTTAATAACACATTCCAGGTACTTAAGTTCCTGCAGATCTCGCAGTGACACCGCCTGCCGCTTATCATCACCTATTACGGCCCGTAACTCCTCGAAAACTTTCTGCTGTACAGCCGGATGACGCGAGAGTAGGTAACAAGTGAAAGAGATGCCGCTAGTGGTGGTGTCATGCCCCTCGAACATGAATGTATCCACTTCTTCGCGTATATCGGCATTGGTAAGCGGCCGTCCGGAGATTTCCGCTAGCAGCAACATATCCAAGAAAGCGGTACGATTTTTGGCGCCAACATCGTTCTGTTCGTCGATGGGTTGTGTTTGAGGGGATCGCCTAGTTTGCTCCAATTGCGCGCGACGTTGTTCGATGACACTACCGGTGAAATCGTGCATAAGCTCAATGCTGGTTTGGAGTTGCTTAAAGCACGAAGGAGCAGTTAGGCGCAGCCAAAAATCGAAACGCTGCAAAGATGACATAAAACGCTCGGCTGTTATGGCGGAAACGCTATTGGGGGAGATTTCAAGAAGGAAGAGTTTGAGTGCATGAGTGTGAGTGATCATTTTCGGTGTAAATACTTACGCGCGCACAGCCTTGACATACGGCAGATTCGGTTGCAGTTGTGCGTTGACTTTCACGCCCATGGCAGTTTCTGAAAGATTTTAACAGAAATGTTGTATATTTTTGTTTTACTCATAAGATATGATACCTCTTACCAGTTATCACATCCAGCGTCATGGCACATATGTATGGATAAATATTCACTACTCCCCGACCGTCTGCCTTCTCCTTCAGCATATCCATCATAATTGTACTTTGCTGATCGAAGATCTCTACGAATCCTTCGAGGATTTTAAAATGAAATGTAGGCGTAATAATTTTTCTACGGCTATGCCATTTAGGTCCTGTACTTAGCAGCAAACCGTCTCCCAGCCAGCTGCCCAAAAGTGAGTAGAGATTATTCTTCGTCAGCACTTTTTGACTACTGAGCAGTGGCTCTAGAAGCTCGGGATCAGCCGTTAAAACCGTTGCTTGATTTAGAATCCATGCATTGCATGTTTTTCCATACTTCTTGAGGATATCGCCGTTAAATGTAAGTGTTTCTGTTTGAAAAAAAATGAGTCGTATTAATGCATATGAAAGTAGACCAGCTACTGTACCAGCTACACATTTTATAACGAAAACTAAATAATTTTTACTAAACTAAGAGGGCGATCTGGCTAAGAATAGTAGTTGAAGGTCTTTTCTAAGACAATTGAATGACAGTAGGCAAAATAGTTTGAAAAATTTTGTTTATTCTGGCACGGAAGTCTCCCATAAAGAAGCTGCTATGCCAACTTTCTTGGTGAAAAGCTCTTTTTACAGAAAGCTTTTGACCGTATTCCAAATGGAGATGTCAATGATTTTGCTCGCGATGACCGAGTGAGCAAACTACAGGCGTGCCATTCTAGAGGTCCGAATTCGAGCCCTCGTACTGCGAAATTGTTTTTTTTTTCATTTAATTATTAGATTTTATTGTTTTCAATAGAAAAACATACATTCATTTTTTTTGTAATTTGATTTAACTTTGAAAAAATATTTTATTTGCTTATTTTAATATGGTTGATTTTTTAAATTTAATTTTAAGTTTGTATTGTTTGGAAAATAAAAATATATATTTATTCAATATCTAATTTTTGGAAACTTATATTTTATCTTTTTATTTGATTTCATTTTCTTTTTTAATTAAATTTATGTTTAATTTTTAAATTTCATTGTTTAAAAAATAGCTTTTTGATTTAATTTTTAGAAACTTACTTTTTTCTTCTTTTTTAAACAATTTTTTTCTTTATTCAACTACTTTTTCGTTTAGCTTATAGATTTCATTGTTTTATATGTTTATTTCATTTAATATTTATTATTAAATTTAACTAAATTTTTAGGAGCTTATTTTTTTATAAAAAAAAGTTATTTTTAATGTAATTTAATTTTATGTTATAGATTATATTATTAAAAAAAACCATTTATTTTTTATTTTTTTTTAGTATTAAGGTACCTACTTATTGTATTTTTATTTATTTTTAGAATTTATTGTTTTAAAAAGAATCATCTTTTTTGTAATTTAATTTAATTTTTAGAAATGTATTTTATTTATTTTTTCCTTCGAAACACTGTGGTGAATTGAAAGACAGTTCCCGGAATCGCTATGTATGTAAACATAGATAGCAGTGTTGATACATAAGATTTTTAAATTGTAATAAGTTAATGACAAAAAGTGTAACTTTTTATTATACTACAAAAATGTTTACCCAAAAACTTCTAAAAAATCGGAATAAGAAGTGTGAAATTTCGACAGAACTTTGAAATCTGGTTTTATGTGTTGAGTTTTTGTCAAAAACTTTTTGCCAGACAATGAGCTAAACTTTTATAAAAAACAAAAAAAAATACAAATGAAAAAACGGCCCAAACCAGGTGACCGTATTATTTTGCGGCGTGTTGTCTATTCAAAGATAAAGACAATAACGATAAAAAATTAATACAGTAGATCGATCAGTTTATATTAATGAAAATAAATCTCATAAAATGACATGACTAAGATTAAGAATCTGTTCTTGTACCTATACAATTTTTTGTTTTGCCTATATCAGGGCTGGCGAACCTAAGGCACGCGTGCCATTGATGCACGCCACGCAACAAAATATTTGGGCACGGTATTCATTGGGAACTCAATTCCTCAATTACAAGTAGTAGTATTTACTACCGTATCGACATAATTTCTTTTCTTTCGTTTAAATTGGAGATCAAAGCAAGATCTACTAACACCCAAGAAAAGAGGTCATAAGAGCCACAAATTAACATTAAAAAATGCAAAGAAAAATATAAATTGTTAAATGCTTTACCCCTTACATCTGGTGGGGGGAAGTAAATCATAAAAACAATTGAGCCAGTTTGTTGATAAATTTCGATAATTTTATACATATCTTTGATAACTCGACTCGTTTCGATCAATTTTGATAACTGTGCGTTTCGAAGGCTCGATGAATTTCCATAACTCAAAAATATAACTCAAAAATGTATACGTCTCGATATGAATCGATAGCTCGATAAACATTAGATACCTCTATAAATTTCGATAATTCTGTTAATTTTTATGTAACCACATTTCTCGAATGCTATCGAGAAATGTCGATAACTCGTTAAACTCTAGTAACACAATAAAATTCGATAAGCGGTGATAACTCGATATACAATTTAAAAAATTCCAAAATCTTCGATTCGATATATTGACAAATTTCACTAAATCAATAAATATTGATAACCCGATAAGAACTCGATGCATTACGATAACTCAATAAATTTCTTTAATCCTATACATATTGATCAGGTAATAAATATCATAACTTCATAAATTTCGTTAACTTGACAAATTTGGATAATGCCATAAATTTTTATTATTAGATAACTATGTACGTCTGTAAATTTCGACAACTAATTTTCTGTGTTCATAAATTTCGACAACTTGGATAATAAACCTTGATCAATTTGAATAATTCGATACATTGCGATAACTCAATAAACATGTATAACTCGATGAATTTCGATAACTATAAACTTCGGTGATTCCATAAATTTTTCTCGAAAATATGACTCACCTTTGAGATATGTACATTCAGAGGCGATTAACTTCGAAACATTGGATAAAAATTTTCAACTAAACTTACCGGCTGCCGACACATTGATGAGATGATGTGCTGAACCTATTATTGGTAGACTCGAAACGGATTTAAGACCGTTACTTTTAAAAATCTCATTATGACGCCTTTTGTACAGATAGTCCCAGCCTAATAGCACTGCCACCAAACCTATTAGAAGCGCGACAAACATTTTTTTTAGACCGATCTGAAGTTCGAATGCAGCACAACTGCATGCAATTTCTTTGCCATTTTTGAATATAAGAAACAATAAAGCCGTATGCACACAATACCAAGAATTTGTAATATCATTTTCGATTAGATACGTAAAGTACATTGCACCTGTGAAATTAAAGACTCATTGCCGATATGATAACTACATACATTGTAATCGATAAGCCGTAAATTGTCATAAAATCCACTTGCCGATCGGATAAGACGTAAAACTGCAGGTCTTTCAATTTGTTTAAGACAGTGATTCCCAAAGTAGTCCAGGTGGACCCCCAGGGGTCCTCGGGAGACTCGACGGGTGTCTACGTTGGCGTGAAAAAAATATGGGGGTCCATGAGTTGCAAGTGGGGGTCCACGAAGATAGTAAAGAATCAAAATGGTTGCGTTATAGCCTTTTTATTTAACCTCATTTTTTTTTGAGTGGTATATGGGGCTCTTGACGCACTGCTGCACCTACCGTCACTTTGTGTTTTCATACATACCAAAGCCATAAAGGCCACCTGCAGACAAAAAAGAAGAGGATGTTGGTATAACACTGATTGTGGCGCGGCGAAAATTGCTGGCGGCAGCGACTTAAGCACTTGCGTATTTTCAATGCTACATGCTAGTACGCCACCATTACCTTTGAAGACTTTCTATAATGTTGAGTTCTCTGAGACTGAATGCTGGTTTAATTCCATCACTGAGACCGGACTCACACATTGTCGACTCTTCACTGATGGCTCCAAAACTGACTCTGAGTCAGGATGTAGCGTCTTTTTCGAAGTTAATGGGGATAAACTTCACTTTTATGTTGGGGAATATGCTTCAGTCTTCCAGGCTGGGGTAATTGCAATTCTCAAAGCCCTGGCCTACGTGGTAGAACATACATAGGTGGAGGGGAAGGAGTTTACCTGTCTGCAGTGACAACCAAACTGCACTTAAGGCATTGACCAGCCCTCTAACTACTTCAAAACTAGTTCGGTAATGCAAGTCTCGACTAAATTATGGTGGCAGGTCACTCAGGAGTACCTGGTTATGAAACATCTGACCATTTGGCCAGAATTGGCTCAGACCAGGCATTCCTCGGTACGCAACCAGTTTTAGCACGCCCACTTTCGGCCATAGAAAACACCATCAGAAACTGGGTGAATGCTTCGCTCAGCAATGACTGAGAGCCATCGAGTGGATGCAGATGGGCAAACCTCATGTTCCCTTCGATCTCAGAAGGTCTATCTAGTTTTTTGCTCTCACTGGCACAAACACCTGACTATGATGGGCGTAAATGACAAGTCCATTTGTCCATCTGCTTCTTGCTTGCTTGGTTGTTTGTCAGCGATTTTTCTAAACTCGTTCCTTTCTCTATTGTCAGTTTCTGAAATAAAAGTTTAGCGTAAAAAGCTTAGCCGTTTTGTTTTATGTTTTGTGTTTTAAAAATGTAAGTGATAAATATTTCTCGCCTCACTTTAAAACTCGGAGCGATAAAAATAAAAAATGATGCCATCAACACAAATAAACTATTTTACAAATACTCCACGTACAAAGTCATGAGTGAGCCGAACATTTGATGAGTTTATGGTGAAGATAATGTAAATAACGCTAGGGGTCGAAGTGCTCTTAAGAAATATAACTCCCCAGAGCGAGAGAGTATTTTGATGGATTTACGTGCTCTATTTTTTAAAACCTGCGAGTGTGTAATCTCATTATTAAATAGAAATGAAAAATAATAAAAAGAAAATATTTTAGCTTTATTTTGGCAACTCCTAGTTTAGTTGAGTGAATTCACCCGCGATGCAAATTTACATAGTTAGATCTAATCTTCACATTTCACTTTTTTACTAGCTTTGGGAATATTTAGAAATGTATCAGCAGGGGGTCCACCGAAACCAGTAAATGTTTGAAAGCGGTCTACGAGAAAATAAAGTTTGGGAACCTCTGGTTTAAGAACAACAGCAAGACGCACAACAAAAATTGGATGAGAAGCTCGGCCAAACACTTGGCAAAAGTATAAGCGTCAAAATATATTATTATTATTATTATTAAAGATAAATTATCAGAGAGCATTTAACTGTAGAGGTTTTAGAAAAATGCATTATCATTCTATGATTCTTCGCCTGGTTTCGCCTGTATATAGAAGTCCACACAAAAGCGGAAATTTTTTGGTTTTCCTTCACCAGGGGTTGATTAGAGACGATTATTTGGCGGGATATACGGGTTCGAGTCCTCGGGGAGCGGATTTTTTATTCTGTTTTATTTTTTTTTTTTAGTTTACTTTTCTTTTAATTTTTAGATTTCATGACCTAAAAAGAAAAACACTCATATTCTTTTTTAGTTTAATTTAATCTTTAGAAACTTCTAATTTTTATTTTTAGATGTTATTGTTTTAAATTAAAAAAAAATTGTTCTTTACTTCATTAATTTTTAGTGAAGTTTTTTTTTTTTTAGGTTCTGTCAATTCGTCAGAACATTTATTTTTTTTTGTGCATAAATTTGGACCACGTTAACCGATTTTGATGATTCATCTTTCATCGGAAAGGTGATACATTAAGGGTAATCCAATAATAATTTTGGTTAGTTCCGATAGCTGTATCATGAAGAAATTAACGGGTAAACCTAAATTTTTATATGAGAATTGAAGTCGGTTGTTTTTTTTTGCTTAAAAATTACTTTTCTCGATATCATTTTCTTTTAATTTCACGATTTTATTGTTTTAAAAAGTAAAGTATATTTTTTATTCTTCGTTTTTTTTATTTAATTTTCTTTTTATTTTTAAATTTTGTATTATTCATTTATGTAATTTTTAAGAATAAATTTTCTTCGTTTATTTTATTTTTTTCTATTTTTAATTTCATTTTCTTTTATTTTTTTGATTGTATTGTTTTAAAAATAATGTATTTTAAATTTAATTTTGTTTTATTTTTAGATTTTATTATCTTACAAATATTTTTTTTTTTTAGATTTTCTTTTAATTTTAGAAATTTTTTAACTATTTTTGCTTTTTAAATTTTTTTCTTTTAAATAACCTCTCAAAGCTACGTTGGACGGTAAAAGATAAAAAACCTACAGTTCAGACAAATTTAGTTTTTAATTTACACATATGTTAGTGTTCGGCCGAACTTCTGCTCCGATTTTTGGCGTGTGCCTGATGTTGTCACACAAAGGGAAGGGCCCTACAGTTTTACGGTGACTCAAAACGGCGGAAATAGACTCGAGGGTTTCCCATTGCCTGCCGAGTGGCGACCGCTATTAGAAAAAAACTGATTCTCTAGAGAAGTCGCTATTTAGGCGGCTACAATATCCAAAACGTAATTGAACCGAAGTGACGCTCTGAGTCTGCGACATGTGGAGACTGACCTCCGCAGACGGCATTCATAGTCGTGGTAGATAGTGCCCGACTCTCTATAGATGCGGTTCATCACTCGTCTGTACGTCGTCGGGTCCAGTGGTTACTCGATGTAAGTCTGTACGGTGTCCATGTACTCGAAAAGATGACTTCTGTGTTTTGTTGTGCTTCCTTACTGAAAGAGTTGGGGCCTCGCTATGAAGATGTTATTCACGCGGCATCATAAGGCATCCCTCGGCGACTAAACAGGCGCAGCATAATTCAGAGTCGGCCGGCCAATTGCTTCGTAGGTCGCCAACAACGTTTCTTTGTCTTTACCCCCAGGTGTTGCCGGCAAGCGAATTGAGGACCTTCTTCCGGCTCTGTACTTTATTGACAATTGCGGCTGTGTGGGCACAGAAGGAGAGCCGGCTGTCGAATGTGACTCCTAAGATTTCCGGGTTGTTCACCGTCGAAATTGGCGTGCCATCCAGATGCCAATATTGAGCAGTAGTCCGCATATGCTTGCATCAAAGAAACTCTCCGGTGTCTGAGGAAGTCTCGACATATAGAAGTTAAACAATAGCGTGGAGAGGACAGCACTTGCTTAATTATTCTTGGATTTGAAGTTTGATCTCGGAAGCGTTACTGACGACTGCCGACCACTCATATAACACTGGACCACAAATTTCAACTTTTTCTCTTTACCAGAAACGC